CATTTTGGGAAAATCACATATGTTACAAATATGGCTGTAGCAAATGTAATTTTATTTATATTTAGCTAATATGCTACGATACTGTAGATAAGAGTTATATATTCGTATTCGAATTTAAATCGCAGAGAATGATCGGGAAACGGCGAAGATATGGATGCAACAAGTTGCACAATGCCCAAAAATTGTCACGTGCATTCTTTTTGCACGCCACTGTAACTGATGAAGCCGAACACTTACGAGAGCAACAGAACAGAAATTATGTTCAAAGTTTTCCAGTCTCGCATCAATGAATCTATGAACGACTCCCATGACGCCTTTAAATGCAAGTGACTACTATATGCATTATGATTTTCGAGAGCTTGACTTGCGGTTACTTCTAAAGCTATTTTCTTGATTTCTGGCATGCTGAGTTCTGCTTCCTCGAATATCTTCTTGACCCTCGAGAAATAGAGATATGGAAGGCAAAGAAGAAAGTGTAGGTAGATTTGTCGAGGCATTACGTCGAATAAAAATGCAAATACATATGCCTTTGTTGAGATGGAGGTTTGAGCTTCCGCCGTCGGAGGCTTCTCCCGATATCTTATGTCGATGAAGGGAGATAATGGCCGCGCATTCTGATCTGGACCAGCCACTTGAGTATCGCCGGCTGTCACGGTAGTAACGTAGAGGATCCGCTCTTCGGCTTGAATATGTGGGTGATTTGATTGAGAGGGAGACATGAGATGATCTTGAAAATCAAGAGGATGATGCGGTCGAGGGATAGTCACATTCTATTCTTCTATATTCTGTGGTGGTGAGGGTGCTCGCATGGTAGAGTTTGTAAATTCATTTTCGTAATTTTTGTAGTCGACTATAGAATGAGTCCTTGATCTAGAATGAGAACGGGATCGGGTTTTATTTGAAGTATTGTCCTAATTCTCGCGAAGTGGATCTGTCTGTGCGATAGCCTCAGGGAGCGGCCCGCGACCACGACGCGAGTCAGCACCACGTTCACTCAAGAATCTTAGTGGCCGAGAGGGAATAATTCGAGTGGGTCTCGAGGAAGGTGGGCCACTCGACGAAGATCTTAACGACCCGGGCACAGGAGACTCTAATAGTACCAGCTCTTCTTTCATTTGTTCTGCGTACTTTTCACTTCCAGAGAAATAAATGAGTTAAAATCCGAAAAATAAAACTAACAACGCACGCGAGCGAATCAACTCGATTACTGCGTATGGATTGTCTACTCGTTTTCCCAGTTGTACCAATTGATGTAATAAGTTGTTGCGGCGCTCGAGATCACGAGCGAGATCTGGAAACTGTGCGAGGTCTGGAAACTCTATGATACTCATGGTTAGGGGGTATCTGTTGGATTATAATTGGTGGCTGGTTTCGACTGATAGACCGCCGTCGACTGCGAGAATATGATCGATGATCTCGTAGAGGGGGTTGTTGGACTATTATCTGCATTGGACTCCGAGAGCGATGTCCTCGGCCAGATGGCTGCTGAATGATGATGGTTGATCGCTCTCTTGGACTTCGCGACCGACGACCCCTGCGGGGTCCGTGGATTATAATAGGCGCTGCGGGTTGCTGAGTTGTAGTGACGTAATCATTGGCAGATGCCCGCGTTAAGATTTGACTGGCGGATGGATAAGGCTGCCTGCGAGAATCTTGAGCCATAACAGAGGGCTGAATAGATTGAAAGCTACTACCTGAAGAGCTTCTATTTGCGCAACTATATGTTGGGTGTCGAGAAGGAGAGCTAGGTGCAATATGTATGATCGACTGGGGTAGTTGGATAGGATACGGATACATACCTTCTAGGTGATCTAGATCTAGATCTTCGAAAGCTGGGTGCCCGGGAACTGGCCTGAATAATCACAATAGTTGTGTTGGAGGAGCATATGGAGGATACACTGAACCAAAGCGCCCATATTGCGTCTGCCCATTCTCCCGTCCCCAATAACCGTAACCATATTGTGACGGAGCTGGATGAGTACTGCTGTATCGTTCCCAGTCCATCTGGGCACTATAGTATGAGGACGAAGGTCGAGAAACTGGAATTGAATCCATGATGTCTTCACTCTGTGGTGCAGAGAGAACGCTACGAATGCTGCGAGCCACTGAGGGCCGAAAGGGATTGACGGCAATAAACGCGCCGTCCGCTAACGCTCAAATTTCGTCTAGAATTTCTCTGACTGCTTTCAGGTGCTAAGCTGTAGATATTGTCCGAACGACTGTCATCCCAATGCCTCTGAGTTATATCTGGACGTGAATTCCAGTTCCTCTTGAATATCGCAGATATCAAGGGATTTAAATGCTCAATTTTTGATTTTTTTAATCCAAAATCTG